AAACCTGCATACAAACACAGGTCCTTTTGTTTATAGGAATTCATGTTTTTCCAACTTTACTTTGGGTTTATACAATCGGAAACGGAGATTATGTTTGGATTTACTTAAAAAAATATCTGGATTTTACTGTATAACAAATACATATTACTCATTATATTCTCATTTGAGTTTACTCCATAATAAACACAGTACCTGATAGGATCAAACACATCCACCTCCCCAGTCTATATAAAACGAAACATATGTGCTCATTTCCATATTGTGAAATCCTTTTGAAGACTTTGTCTAAAGAGGGAGAATCAGAGGTTTACTCGGGAACCCTTCAGAAGAGCGCAGCGCTGTTTGATCCTCACAAACAGAGCCACTTTAAAGTGGAAATGTACAGATGTGCCATAGTATCAGTATTGACAGGAGGTTACTGAAGTCCAGGAACGGCTTCAAACAGATTCCCTTTCATAAAATGAAAGAGCTGCATAAAAATGTCGCTTGATTTGTCTCGTTTAAAGCCTTGTCTTACGCCAATGTGTAGGCCGTTGGAAATACAGAAACAGGTAAAATAAAATGCTGAAAAAAATCATAAAATAGTTTTTATTTATGACTGCCTGTTTGACACATTTGTAAAAGTAAATCATCAATCTTTTAAACAGTATAATGAACAATCATGGACCTTTATTCCTAAACTAAATTACTAATTTGGATTCAAAATAAACTCGACAAAGGCTACATCAAAGACAGAATGAATATCTTAAAGGCTTAAAGCGGTATCTTATGAGAGGGAATGATGTTTACCTGAATATCAGTAAAGCTGTGAGTTAGTCATATAAGGCACAATCTAAGGCAGTGGTTCTCAACTCGTCTAGCCTCAGGACCCACCACCTTCCTCTGTGAAAACATTTCTGATATTTTAAATCGGGCAAACATTTGTCTCAGCTTCTGCTAAGACAGAAGCAAGAAAGTGATTCTGAAAAACATGTTAAAGGAAGAATAGGCAGGGACGGCAGGCAGGCTCATCCCCCTGCCTATAAAAGTTGTTTAATTGAGGGACTAGAGAAAAGAAGAATAACATACTGTACTGCTTATTTGAATGGCACGTCAGCGTTTCTAGATCACGGTCATTTTGTGTAAATTTACATGCAGTGTGAAGAAACGAGCATAATAAAGATTGCAAGCATTAGCATGCTAACACAACAATGCAGCGCAAGTTGTTTTGGTTTAATGCTGGTGCTCAAGGGCGACATCTGCTGGATCAAAAAAATCACATATTCTTCCTTCAAGAAACTCTTTTACGCAATTTTTTTTTTTTTTTCCGGGCACATATTTGCGACCCGCTGAAAATGGCTCCGCGACCCACCTCTGGGTCCCGACCCACCAGTTGAGAAACACTGATCTAAGGTGTGCCAATATCAAGTGTAACATTTCTGCCTTGAGTGTGTGATATTCCTTTTATACAAAGGTTGTACAAGCATGTATTTATACAAGTTAAAAGGCACGATGGATTATTATCTTTTGCTTATCTATTCATTCAAGTGGCTCCTCCAACAGAAGTAGTTACAGAACTTCACTGGACCTGGGCTGACCCCATTAAACACAAGCGTTTTCCTGCAATCTTGTAACTCTGTATTTACATTGTTTAAGACTCTGCTGACAGTTGCGTTGATCTCCCGTTAGATTCAGAGCTACTAGCTTGATCAATAAAGACAGTGTATGAGATACACATAGTTTAAAGTCCCGGTGATGTTGTGCTCTGTATCAGCACTCACTGAAGGCCTCTTGTCTAATTAAAATGGTTTGGTCGGAACTAACTGTTGTGTTAAAGTTGTTATTAGACCATAATCTCCTCGTCAGCGAATCATGTTTGAGTATGATGTGGGTTCAAGTCATGAAAACATTTTACTCTGCCAGACTTATGGCAGACTTACACTTCCTCCTGATCCTGCCCCTCCCCCATTCAGTTTTCGTTAAAAGCTAAAAATATGTGGTTTTGAAACCCAGCAGCAACAAACAAGGTCTTACCTCCAACATATGTGACGCTATACAGCTGAAAAGGATGACGTATGTCAGATGAGTATTTATGTAAAAGATCCTCTGTGGGCTAAGTGGGGAGATAATGGAAATAAAAAACAGGTGTGTGTGTGTGTGTGTGTGTGTGTGTCTTTGTGCACACACTTCCCCGACCTTTTCAGACATTAAAGAGGAAGCTGCTGCAGGTGTTCTTTTTACATTTCTACAGATGCACAACATAAACAAAGATCAGCATACAAACCCATGCACATCTAAGTCCCCCTTCATCCTATCCCATCAGGGAGGTTTTTTATACCTCTTTTATTGTGAGCTGTCAACAGCTTGAATCAATTAACTTCAGACAGAATGTCATTTTAAGTAGGTTGCATTATGGATGATTGACATTTTCTTTAACGCTTTTACAACAACATGACAAATGTATATATTTCCAGGGCTTTTGCTGCTCTTTCTCCTCTACTTTATGCCCAAGTGTGATTTCTTTTTCCGCTCTTGTAATAAAAATAGTGTAAACAGTGAAGACTCGGAGCAGTTGTAATTAAATGGGGCTTATAATTTTTTGGAAATATGTTCCTTAACACCACTGAGAGCCAGATCCCATCATGTCTTCAATGTCTTCAAATCAATGCATGTTGGAGCGACGTCAACCAGTCTTCACAAAGTCTGTTTTTGTTACTGTTTGTGTCTCTCAGATGCCTCTTGTCTCGTGTTTTTCCTTTCTTCTCTGTGTTTTGGCTTCCATCCTTCCTTCCATACGGTATGAGGGGAAAAAAACAACAACTTTGAATGGTAGGAGTTTGGCTTGATGTTGTTGAAGCCTGGACTGGTTACAGCAGAGTCGGACAAAAATGTTCAAGACTGAGAGGAGACATTTAAAGCTGATAATAATAACTTTCGCCACTAGGCGGAGCTTTGGCAGAGTCACATGATTGAGCCAAGTAAGATGGACAAAACAGTAGGCCTACTAACTGTAGATATGTAGCCTATTTCTATGTACAATGGCGCTTTAGATGTTGATATGCGCAGTGTAAACGTATGCTTTACTAACCTGTATTTCTTTACATTTTACCTGCTTTCATTCAATTTCTAATTGGCTATTTTCTCGCAATCAATGGGTTTCTGCAGTTGTGACATCTTCATCGTATGGCAGCCGGCCTCATCCTTGTTTTTCTTGGATTATTTCTTTGACTGCAAACATCAATCTACAGAGAAGCCACCCCAAGCCATTCCTCGCGAAGACAACCCGTTTTGTATTTACTCAGACGTCTGACAACACCAACATGTGTCCGCTGCCCCCGTGTGATCCAGCACACTGACGGCAGGAATCAGAGCATAGAGTAGGAGCGCATAGATCGGTCTGCAGCGTGATTTCGATCCATTCACTGAAAAAACGGGATTGAGTTAAAGATTTGCTTAAACGTAATCTCTAATATTGGTCTTTCTAAGGTGGTTTTCAAGTTTCACATTATCTATTTTTATATTTTTGTGTTTCTATTTTGTAGGCCTACTCATACATTTTGTGTTATGCAGAAGTGTCATTGGCATAGACTTTATCACAAAAATAAAATAAAATAATAAAGTCTAGTTGTGTTAATGAATCTCTTTCCCATAACTTTTCATTGGGCTCTTACACTACTTTATTTGTGTGACCACCATTTATGGATGTGCACATTGTTTTTTGTTTTTTTTATTGGAAATGGTATTTGTGTGTAACTTGAGTGTCCTCTGCTTGGGCCCGCTTGGTGTGCCCAGTGTATCCTTGCCAGTCTGCTCTGTCTTTGTAGTAAGTTGATTTGTAATTAGGCGCTGCTAAAATACATTTAAAAATATTATTTTACTCATTTGAATGGTAGACTTTATTAACGAGTAAGCATATTTATGCATTTAACAACAAACACTTTTTTTTGTGTTGCTGATACTGATTTGTTATAGGACATAGCCTATACCTAACCCAATTTAAGTAGCTTACTAAACAGTTCAAAATGAGTTGTTTTTTTGTTTTAGCTATACAGTGGTTGCTGTACAAAGACCATTTATACTTAATAAGAAAAAAGCTTATTTTGTTATAATAAAAGGCCGGTTGGGCCTAAAGGCAAAGAGTGATCTTATACGATGAGATAGTCAACAAGTCTAGGGCGTCCATGTCTGTGCTCGGATATTACGCAGAGCAAATTGGTGTTATTGCGGGTTTTCTTGTGTTAATGCCGCCAGTTTGTGAGCCATTATCTGACCAGGTCGTAATCTACCCACGGGATCTCTGCTGGCACCTAGATTACCAACAAGGTTCCTGCAGAGTTACATCAAAACAGGCCTACTTCAAAATCAAAATTAGTTCATGATTGCGTGAATTTACACCAGGGCGACAGACCTGAACTAATCGAGCTTTTCGTCCGACGTTTATCCCTAGTTATTGTAAATCTTGTTTGCCTAAGAGGTCTGCAGGCTACACACCTTGTTTATTGACATTGCTGATGGGAATGGAGACATTACATGTCGCGGGCGGGGGGATGTTTAGTCAGATTACTGCTGTGTGCGTGTGTGTGTGTGTGTGTGTAGGTAGGGGGAGAGAGGGGGAGGTGGGGTCGGCCCGGGAGGGAGGGGTATGCAGGCGACCCCAGGGGGTAGGTAGAGTTGCCGGACGGAGATGCTCGCACACACACGCCGGAGAGAGAGAGAGAGAGAGAGAGAGAGAGAGAGAGAGAGTTGCAGAAACAAACACACTCGGCAGGCAGGCTGAGCGGTGTGTGTGTGTGTGCAGAGAGCTCTTCGTTGTAGGACTACAAACAACAAATTGTCGGTGCAATTTACTCATTCACACACATTTATATTTAGCAACCAAACGAGAAGGAAGTTTGGCTTCAGGTTGCGTTTACGCTGCGCGGACCTGTTGATTCTTTTTTTTTTGGGTTTACAAACCCCTCAAACTTTTGTAGAAACTCGCGCAAACTTTTTTTTTTTTTTTTAGGGGGGGGGGAAGGCAATGCAAGTGGAGGAAATGTGAGGAAAAGCAGGGTGATGTGACCCTGTGTAAACTCTTAATGACCACCTCTCTCTCTTCAGCCAAACACGCGTGAAACAGCGGCGGTGCGTCCACGTCCAGGCTGCAGCCAGCATGACTCTGTCCGGCGCGTCGTCGGATGCTTGTCAGCTCGTTTCACGCGACCGCATGGAGCCGGAGCTGTGGATATAACCGAACTTCACTCATGCTTTCACGGTAATAGTGGCTGCAACACGTTGGGGGAAAAAAAACAAACAAAAGCCAGCACGCACACTTTCGGAGAGAGGGAGCTACGATGCGGGGCACTTTAGGCGCTTTCTTTCACTCCTGCGTGCTCCTCCTGGTCCGAGCAGACCAGTGGAGGTTAAAGGACAGTGGAGCCAACTGCGAGCTGAACATGAAAGTAAGTCAGTAGAAAGTACAAATAAACGACTCATTACACTGCGTTACTTGTATCAAATCCTAGCTCTTAACTTGACTTCTTAAGTCAGTCACTAAGTTTATTTTGTTTCCAATGTCAACATCTTTTTTTTTTCCTCTTTCATGCTTTTTTTTTTTTTTTACAAACGTTTCTCCATCAGACTCGGATTTTTTTTTTTTGACTCTTCAATCCAATAAATGTGGGAAAAAAGTCACTGAAGAGGACCAAAACCAACAAGAGGTTCAGATAACAATCACGTCATTATGATTGTTTATAATGATATAAAATGCTGGTAGTTTTGAAGGATATTTCTCTGATTTTTTTTTTTGTGTGTAAAATGAACGAATTCACTGCACTTACTGACCTTTTTCTGTGCATTGGATTAGTGTAAAAGCCAGGTCGATATGAACGTCAGGACAGGTGTGTTTTTGCTAAAAAGAAATCCCATAATTTCAATTTATCCTCTGTCTGTTTTATTGCATTTTAAACTACATATAACTTCATTCATAAAGCACCTTTAAAATAAATGGGTTTCAAAGTGCTTCGACATAATGTACAGTCGAAAGTAACATTAGAACAAAGCAGAGAAACCCTAAAGAATCAAATCAGCATCCCATCTTGGTTGACAACCGTTCAGTGACTCATTCAACTTTTCAGATATGTTCTTTAAACTCTCAAACATTCAGCACGCTGTCTGACAATCACTGACATGTGTATTGTTGGTTTGGCTCTTGGGTTCTAAGTGACCTGTTAATAAGTCATTACCAGTCTGTTAGGAGGTCGGTCTAATAAACAGCCTCTCGTAGACAAGGTGGTGGATTTGCTTCTTGGTGCCAGACAGGCTCAGTGTTGATAATTAAATAATCAAGACAATGGCATTACTTTATTTTACATGAAAAAAAAAGAAATCTGCTGTTTATCTGTGGCTATATTTTGATTGTCTTCTCTTTTATGTGTTTTGATCTGACTTGTTTATACTGTTTTCTGAAACGTTACATGAAACTTTTAACAGTGTTATAATCATTAATACTCACTTTACTAATTCTACAACGTGAGGAGTTTTACGTCAATGGAAGTCCACTGAAAAGTTTTCTACTTTAAAAAAGCCTAATCTTACAATCAGAAAACAGAAACAGATCAGTAAATACTTGAACTATTTTGATGTTAATCTTCTTTCATCTTCTCCTCAGCAAACAGACCTGAACTCCTTCCTGTGGACTATCAAACGGGACCCTCCCTCATATTTCTACGGTACAATCCATGTTCCCTACACGCGTGTTTGGGACTTCATCCCTGAAAACTCCAAGCAGGCCTTCCAGGAGAGCAACATCGTCTACTTTGAACTGGACCTGACGGACCCTTACACCATCTCAGCCCTGACCAGCTGCCAGCTGCTTCCTCAGGGCGAGAACCTGCAGGACGTCCTGCCCAGGGATATCTATCGGAGACTAAAGAGACACCTGGAATACGTCAAGCTCATGATGCCCTCGTGGATGACCCCAGATCAGAGAGGGAAAGGACTCTACGCGGACTACCTCTTCAACGCCATCGCTGGAAACTGGGAACGGAAGCGGCCCGTGTGGGTGATGCTGATGGTGAACTCGCTAACGGAGGCTGATATAAAGACGCGAGGGGTGCCGGTGCTGGACTTGTACCTGGCCCAGGAGGCGGAAAGGATGAGGAAGAGGACGGGGGCTGTGGAGAAAGTGGAGGAACAGTGTCATCCACTCAACGGGCTCAACTTCTCACAAGTAAGTATACTTAGTGAAGGTTAGCAGCCTACTTTTGAATAGTGTGATCAGGAGATTTTGCTGTCTTTGAGTAGCCTTATAAAGATGAACACTCTATACTGAGTCTCATGGCTGTGCTGGAAAAAAAACAGAACACTCACAGGCCCTGATTTTGACTCACATTTCAGCTGAGTGTGTAAGCGCTATAGGCTGTCCCTCTTCGAATCCTCCGGACCAGTGACGGACTTTGAATGCAAAAATGCCCTCTCCATGAGTGAATTATGTTTTCACACTTTCCTTGTCCATAGTTCACAGAAAAATGTGTGTGGTTAAAAGGCAGTCTGGCCACAGAACGCATAAACAAAGCTAGCATGGACAGTAAAAGGTGGAACATTTCAAACAAGTCGCTCTAAAAGAAGCCATCGCATTGCGCTACTGGCTTTTGCGGTTATTTTTTGACATGTTTGTATTTTTGATAGGATATCATCAGACATTTACATTGATGATTTTCCTGACTGTGCTTTGTTAAACTGTAAAAACATGAACACAAATGCATACTCGCGGTGTAGCTCTAATTCTTTAATGGTGATGTTTGTTTCTAGCTAGCGTGTCACAGCAATGTATCACATTTCTCCTTTATTTTTAAGATTTATTTTTGGGGCTTTATTTGGACAAGGCAGTGGATAGGAAACCAGGATCAAATCAACCATTGGCTTTGCAACATTCTGCTTCCAACACTTATTCTGTCTAAAGCGCGTATCCGTTTTTTTGGCTTATAGTTTTAACTGAGGGATAGTACGTGATGTAGCTGGTGTTGTTATCCCTCAACAGAGGCCTTTAGTTTGATAGTATTTCCTCATTTCCCAGGGCTTTTCCAAGTGGAGGAAGGTGTGCTGTTAATAATCAGCTGTACAAACATTCAGCCGTGCTCCACCGTGCTCTGTGTTATTAAAGAAAAATGGATCCTAATGACTCAAATCTGAAATCACCAGAAAAAAAAAAGGGACCTTGTTCCTCAAACCTGCACACTTAAGTCCCCCTGTCTGCCCGCCTGTCTGTCCGTCTGTGGCCCTCAGTGACCTTTTAGTATTACAAACATCTCTCAAAGGCAGCAGTCACTATGAAATCATGTTGCCTATTATTGAGGAATTTTCTGCTAATGCTGGTCAGGAGCTAAGGGGATTACACTTGACCATTTACCTTAACACCCAGAAGCTCAAAGTGTTGTTATTTTAAAGCAGGCCTACCCGGCCCCTCAGACTTTAAGTCTCGGAAGCCACCCAGCAGCACTTTTATGAGCATTCACTCGAGCCAGAAGAACAGGGGGAGTTAAAAAGGAATGACAATATTTGACGTGTTGATATACAAAGAGTATGACTAACAGTTAATAAAATATATCCCTGGCAGAGATGAGGTGATTGACTTCAGCTTTTCAGTTATGAAGTTATTGTTTCTCACATCCTCATTCATCTTGTTTTTGGCAGATCAAACCTGTAATGTGTTACTTTAAATAAGTATTTGTGTTTCTGACGAGGCTGTTGTCACCATGCTACACAAGCGTTTGAATATTCGGAGTTACATCTTCGATTCTGAAATTCTGAAAACCAGATAGACAAACCCACACTGCCTGGTTTCCAGTTTATCCATGTGTGCCCATATTCATATGGATAAACCCTTTTGCTAGTTGAACAGGGCATAAACTGGGCACAACGCCAGTTGCAGGACAGTCTCTTGTGTGCTTTGGGGATAACATGACCATACCAACCCAAGCTGTGTCATCTGTCATTCCATTAAAAGGCAGTCGCGGCTTCATGTGTGTAAGCTCATTCCTAGCTTTAAGTCAAAAGCGTTGTGTGTGGTTTTGCCTCTATCCGACATAGTGGCATCAGAGAGATCTTTTTGTTGGGCCAGGGCCTGGTCAGCCTGGAGCATTTGGTCTTGGCTCGAGCAGGAATTCAGTAAAAGATCCCTGAGGTGAAGCAGGGGAGTGTGTGATTGTCGTCTCTCATCACCAGAACGATGGAGTAAGGAGCCCAATGATATCAGGAGATGGGGGAGACAGAAGAGTTCCACTTGTCTCCCAATCCTCCTCTCCCACTAATAGCTAAATTTGACTTCAGTTGAGCAAATACATATTGGTTTATGACTGATGAGTTATTGAGCCGACTGTGTGAAGCATAGGGTTTGTAATGGTGATTATATCTAGGTTTATGTTCCTAAATGTTGCCGTTGTTATCAACTCTAACGCATGAGAAACTGAGAGTACAAAACAAGGAGCCAATTGAGGGTTCTTGTGGTCCTCATGTGACGCCTCAGTTGCCCAACAGCCCAACATAGAGCAACAGTTTTTAAAGTATTGTCCATAAGCTACCTCTAATTGAATTCACATAGCCACCAAAGGCATTGCATGGCCACTTATCCGACTGTAGAAGTATAAATCACACCGCTCCATATCAAATTTCGACACATCATACAATTGTTTTTGGCAGTAATTGGTTTATTGAATGACTGTGCTGTTTATATATGGCTACTTCTTGTTTTGAAAGACAGTGGGTGGCTGAAGCTGGATTTGTCAACGGGGCTATAAAGAAAGAAACCTCCCATCATCACAGCTTTCATTGAATTAGGTCCACAAAACCTCCATAAAACTCAACAATGACTTCTAGTGTCCTGGAAACCACCCGTACCCCGACACTGCACACAGATTGGCACTCCGTAATTTCCACACAGTTTCATTCTAATCAACAGCAGCTTGATGGACGCCTTCACCCTGCTGGCTTGTGGCAACCCGTTTGATATTTCTGTAAACATTTCCTTCACAGTTTAGCAGCGTAGTTGAAAAGGGCAATTCCATTTAAAGCCCTTTTAGCTCAGCTCAACTGTAAGATGTGGAGATAGAGTGTGATGAGTGAGATACACTCTTGGTGAAACAATACTCCTGCCTCAGCCTGCCACTGATGACTGAGAGTTCTGTTTAATCAGGCTACAGCTAGACAACCATATTTATTTATACTCCTTAATAGTCTCTGTAATGTTTTCACTAGCTATTTACATCTGGCATGAAACTGAACATATTGGAAAGGGAAAGAAAAATAGACGTTGAAACATTGCTTTTTATTGAAGTTGTAAAAATATCCCAATGCTTTTATTGAAGGAGTGATATCCTACCTGTATACTTGTTTTTATTTGTTAAAATGTTGATACACATTTTCACCAAATTTCTGGCCAAAGTAGACACAAACACCAATACCGCTAGCTGGATGTTTTGTCGCACAGAAATTAAAAAGCAAAGATGATAAGCATGAAAGGTAAATGAAAGCCACTGAGATGCAAGTCCAACATCTCAATTCAAACTTTGAACTAACTTTGACCTGACTTCTTTTGGAGGCCACGTGCAATATCTGTAGTTATTAAACTATCTTCATCTTTATTTTGTTTTTGTAGAAAACATGTGCAACTCTATATCAAACTAACTGCAGCGCCGACCTTTGCAGCTGTTGTGCTGCTTGAATGTTTTCGCAGAATATGACTGATGATAGGGCTGTTTTCTCTGATACATTTTTTCCCCCACACTTTGATAATTGCTCCTCTGAATAACATAGCAAAAGAAGAACACATTAGCCCTAAATACTTCTCAATATGAATGTCGCAGAGGCCTAATGGAGAGATAAGGTGATCCCACCTCTGTGCCATCATCGGAGCTAGTAAGAAAGGCGTTACAGGGACGAGACAGGATCAGCCGAACCAGATGGGAGAACAGCGCTGTGTGTGTGTGTGTGTGTGTGTTTATGTGGAGCTCCCGCTGTTTGCTTACATGTCTTGCTTTTGCAACGCTATAACGCAAGTTGAAATCTCAGACCGGGAAGCAAATATTTCACCAATATCAATATGAAAGAACAAAGACATTATGACAGTTAAGGCTGGGCGATAAATCAATTGAATCGATAAATCGTATTTTTGAAAAGCCAGGATGTTCACAAATGTTAATCAAGATTTTATCTTTTACTTTCTCCGCCCCTCCCCTCGGGCTCCCGTTGTTCACCCCCTTCCCCTCTCGTTTACTTCCTACAGAGTGGCTTCAGGTATGTGCCACCCAGCCACAAGTATTCCGCTGAAGTTCTTTTGCAGTAGTCTAAAACTGTATAGTGCACTTTTAAAGACAAGTTTACAGCCTGCACTTTAACCCCTAAAGAGAAAATCAGGGATACGTCATGAATCTCTTTTTAATAAAAAAAAAAGCAAATCTTGTTTTAAGTCAACTTTGTTTCCTTTTATTTATATTTCTTTAGAAGAAAAAAAAAATCTAGTAAAATGGTAAATCGAGTTTGAAAAAAACCTGAGATTTTACTTGTAGGCCATATCGCCCAGGTCTAATGACAGTTTCGTTATGGCGACATGGCAGAATCATCACCTGCTGAGCTGAAACAGACGGTCTTTATGTTTCACATTTTTATTATTTGTTTCTTTACAGTTAAACAAAAAAAGGATCAGTTTCCAACAGATGTTATTAAGTGCTTAACATTTGTTAGATTCATTCATCTAAAAAATAAGATGGCTCTCTTAAATCTCCTCTTGCAAAGTGATGGTTCAATATTTGAGTTTGCCTGCCACTTTAAATGAAGCCCATTGAGCTCATTATTTTCAAAGCACAATGAATAATACTTTCTTCACTCAGATCTCTAATCTGTCTAAGCATGACTGCTCTTATTCTAGCGCAGTGCCCCTCGTCTTTTGAAGAGCGGGCTCAGCCTTGCCCATTACACTAAGTGAGCTTGTTGAGGACAACAATGGCCGCATGAAGGCCGGCTTTCTCTGTCACCGTTGTTGGAAACCCGCGGGACATTCCACACCTCATTGGTGCAGACCTGCTAATGAAAGTGTTGTTTCTTTCCTGCCATCACTGGGAGTAATGGTGCATGGAGAGGTGATGAATGCAGGTCTCAGTGAACGTCTACGAGAACAGGGACAGAATGTTTGAAGCCCATTTTTTTGGTTCATTCATGGCGAGGAGGGAGTGGAGA